TCTGACCGTATATATAATTTCACTATCCCGAACACTCAAGATAGTGTTTCGAAATCTTCTGCAGCTCCCTGCACCACTTACGGTAGATGGCGGTCGAATGAGTCATCCGACCACAGCCCTCTTTGGGAGGGATACGGTTCTCACGTTCTACAAATACTGTCCGCGCTTTCTAGGCGGATGTAAAAGTTAACTGGCATTGTTGGTGAAATACCGTAGAACAATAATTTATCGCGTTTATCGCTTTATGTGCACATATGATTATCCGCTAACTCTGTTCTTGAGGTGAACGCTATCTCAAGAGAGCCTCTCGTGTGGTAAATGCGATGGTGCGGTGAGGCATGATACCATGATGCTGTGCACATAACCCTGAATCCACCAACGGCTTGCTTTGAAGTTGTCTCCAATGGTCCTCCATTGTTGATTTGAAGCGGTATCCGGTGGAAATTACTGCCGTGTAAGGGAACCCCTATATAAATATCCGCTATTCTCCATAGATGGGCAGATTGCTGCGCTTGTTTTGCACATAATAGTTGCGACCAACCAACCAACTCGAACTATAGGAGACTATCGACTCATCTACCAGCGCCATATAATCGGAGCTCATGGATCAGATCACAAACTTCAAAGCTACGTTTCACTTCGGTACCTCTATATCCTTTTCGCGAAGTTACGGATCCATCGTCGCTTTCATCATCAGGCGACCGCAGAGGATCATGGTGATGGCCTTTTACGGACTCGACTTCCTCGCAGTGGATAACGGGGTTGTTTTTATAGCACAGATATGTACGGTTCAAAAGCTCTCCATTAACGCCTCTTCCTAGATGGTGCCCACGTTATGCTGTAAGAACGAAAGTCCTCCATCAAGTGTGATGACACCACTTTCGGTTAGAAGATTTGTTGGTAACATATGGAATAGCTTTTGACGCGATGAATCATTAGGAATCTCCCTCCTTGGAGCTTCTTGAGCCCATTTCGGGCAAATGTTCAGAATTCCTTTTTTGTTCGAATGTAACTCCACCCATATTCGGCCTGTGAGGGGCAAAAAAAAAACCTCCCTTGTAGTCTTTTTCAGTGTTTCTTAATTGTGAGGAAGTTTTGTAGATGCCCAATATTGAGCCTAAAAACCTTCTGAAAGTGTTTGGGACACACTTTATGGAAGAGCAAAACGAGCGCATGCATCAAGGAATCGAACCTTGATGCCATGTCTATCAGTTCACTACACTACCCACTCGGCCACCGTTGCACAGGGACGGTCTTCGCTCGGCTCGGTGATCCGTTTGTTAGTGTGATATAACACAGGGAGGCATCGGT